AACAGTTCATACCATTCAGTTTTACTTCTGGAAAAAAAGACATATCAGTTAAAAAGAATGCCTAGTCTATAAAGCCTAGAGCTCATTTACAGTAGCTAATAGAAAAAGCAGAACCACGTCTACTATAATCTTCAATTCAACATCAGGTAACCAAAATTATAGGTTTATGCTGAACACAATTTTATGTTCAAACACAGAGATAAGCAGCATAATCCCAAAACCTAACAGGATTCCAGCATTCTGTAACAGGAAATATCCCCAGCGGCTACATCCATGATCACTAGCATCATTGTGCAGCATTTCAGGCACCTAAATAAATAAAAAAAATATATATATATTAACATCTTCAAAATAAATGACTGATACTATTCTGACTTGTTCATTAAGGGCCAGATTCTGTAACCCTCACTCATGTGGAGCAGTATCTTACTCCTGTCAGCTTCATTCATGTGGAATAGTATCTTACTCTTTGAGTAGTCCCACTGACTTCAGTGACACCACTTGTGGAGTAAATTGCTAGTCCTCATGGAGTAAGGATATCAGATCTGCCTCCAAACCGCTCATCATAACTTGGAAAGTGGTGATGTAGCACGGGTCTAATCAGCACCATTTATTTTCAGGAATTATACCAAATGAAATTCATGTCTTCTAATTATATTATTGGTGCATAGATGACTTATTTACAAATTATAAATAATATAATCTGATTTTCATAAGCAGTATAGTTCTAGAAACTGGAAACAAGAACAAGTTTGTAAGTTATTTTTATCCATTAGAATAATTTCCTGTGTTGTAGTACTGTATTGGTTCAATCCAAAGAAGTGCTGAAGATTTATTGCAAGTGTACAGCACGTCTCAGGATCATGCCAATAGTGTACAACCAGGCCATTGCACCATTATCCAATACACCAGCCACAGCATTTTCATCACTAATAAACTGGTATTAAAAAGTAATTGAAAGAACAGGCTGACATAGGGGGAATGTCTCACTGAAAATAAACATCTCTGCCTCCCCTCACTGTTAATTTTTTAAAAATGTTTTTGCCTCAATACTTACTACCAGAGACCATCATCCTTTAATGTTCCATTCCACCAACATCTTCTACAAATCCAGAACCTGAACAATTTTACTCAATAAAACAACATCCAGGTGCCTAAAGATTGTTTACAATGTGTTTATGTGCATTCCCAGAGAATTTTGCTTTATGAAGCAGAAAAAAATTCTAGTAATATTCCGATTTGACATAAAATTTCAATTATTTGACTAAGAACTTCCAACACATTACACTACTCACAATAAAACTTAGTCTATTTACTTGTTTGTGTTCCATAATCGTGTTGAAAAGCTTCCTTAAGAACAAATTAAATGGTGTCAGTCTTTAGGTTAAGAAATATGTAATACATGTGGTCAATATTTTCTTAGAGGAAAGAAACCCACTTCCTATTTTATGACAAACCTATTCTGGTATTGTTCTGAATCTCAGTTATGTAAATAGCAAGTAGTTCTAGTCACATACTTACCATATCAACAAGAGCCACATACATGAACAAGCCAGCAGTAAGTGCAAATATCCACATTGAAACATTGTCAGCATAGTGACCAATAAGAATCCCAGTTGCCATTCCAAGATATGCTAGCATAGCTGACAGAGCATTATAAAGAACAGCTTGTTTGACAGTCATGCCAGCTTTTAGAAGTACAGCAAAATCTCCTATAGCAAAAAAAAATAAAGCATCTTTCACCCACTCACGTAACTATTATGACATGTGCAGTAACATTTATTTTCACCACTTAGAATGAATATATTTAACTATTTTAGTGCCCATTATTGGCTTTCTTCAAAAGTTTTCGTCCACAAAATAAGTTGTTCATTTATGGGGAAATAAGTCAGTCAATGAGTGAACACATGAAAACTGCTTCATAGCCACAATCTATAGTATGAAAATTTAGTCTTGCACAAGATCACATTTTTAGTTTATTTTTAGTATTCTGGAAAATGCATACTGTTGGACTTATTTGATTTAATAATGTATATCATTTTAACCAAAGTATTCTGCAGTATTCAACATCAGCGAACACTGTATAAAAGTAGTTTTTCCACAAACTGGGTTTAATGAATTTTGAAAAAAAAATTGCCATGTGATGTGTTCTCATCATGGTTCTGCCACTTACCCAGTGACTTTTCTAAATACTTTATACTCTAGCCCAGTCATTGCTTCAGAATTTCTTTACTAATTTCTATAAAAGTGACCTTTATGTATCTCAGTTTCACTAGAATGATTAACAGCAGTGCTAATCTGAAATGGATAAGAGTAGGGAAATATCCCTATGCCACTCCAAACTAACATTCAAGGAAATTGCCATGGTTTAAAGTGTTTACCTATTACACACATGTATGTTTGCAAACCATTTCTCTCTGGTGGCTGTGACTCCCCGGCTAATCTCTATGTAATCCCACCATTTTATACCACAACCTTTAAAATCCTATGTCAAGGCAAATTTCCAGCCAAGACAGACTTGATGAGATTTCTTTTTAAAATCATCCACAGAAACATTCTAAGCAATGGGCAGCCTCTGTTAATTCAGTAAACAAGACAAGCTTCATTCTATTGAGATAAAAAAGATTAAGTGCCCAATCCAATTCCCAATGACTTCTCTGTGACAGATACCAGGCCCCAAACCTATAACCTAGTAATATGTAAATTCTTATGTGGAAGACATGCACAGATTAATCCAATCTGACTAGAAAGACTCAAGGCGTAGATTTCCAAACAATATCCCCAAGTTAGACTTTGGATGGGAATCTTTGGCAAGATCTGAGCTAGAGCTGAATAATAGTGGAAAAAGCAATCCACCAATATTTGTTGTAACTTTGAAAGTGAATTTTGATTTAAAATAATCAAGTTAAGCAGATATTTGACAGAAGCAAATTTCAAATTGCATATTCAGTTGAAAGATTCACAATTTACACATAAATCACACAAATTAAGGAACAGAAATACCACGTAATTAAACATAGCGCATGTTGAATATCTGCAAACTGAGTGATCTGATCAACAAAACTTAACTCCTGACATTTGCAAATAATTCTAAATAGTAAATCCATTCATGAATTTTATAATCTGTTTACAAACAGCTATAAACCGAGTGAACACTTCTGATCCTGGTTAGAAATTTTATTTCCTCCTAAGACTTCAGAAAAATGTTTGCTATGCAATAAAGCACTGGTAAAATAAAGCATTATCCTTTTATGTCTCCCAAATTCATAGCAAGCTATCATTTACTAAAATATTGTGCTGTCTTACCTAACTCATGGGGTAATTCATGACAAAATACAGCCACAGAAGTACTTAATCCACTAGATAAACCTTCAGTAAAGGCTGCACCTGTGAGAAGACAAAAAAAACCCAAAATGTTACAGTTTAAGAAATCAAGCTTGGAAACACTGCTGCATGTGTTCATATCCGATTAGGTCAGAAATGGCCGAACAGCCGAACTCCAAAGAAAAGTGAAACTGTGTGCGTGTCTGTGCATCAGATTTTAAAGCCAGAAGGGACAATCATCATCTAGTCAAACCTGTATAACAAAATAATTTAACCTTGCAATTTCTGTTTCAAGCCCATTTCCTATAGCACTTTTTCTTAAAAAGCAAAAAAACCTAACATTGGTCTTTCTCAAATACCAAAACAAGAAAAGCAGGGGATTGATGCTTCATCAACCAACTTCACCCTACACTTTACTCAAGCCTCTGTAGATTAAAAGCATGATTTTTACTAGCCAGTTCTATATTTACTCCGGAGGGCATTCTCTGCCAAAAAAATTAAGAATTCTGCACCAAAAAAGTTAAAAATTCTACGCACAGTATTTTAAAATTCTGCAAGTTTTAGTTGTCAATCTGTAAATACAGAGGCTCCAGCAGCATGGTAGTGGGGAGCACAGACCACTGGCTGCATGAAGGTGGGAGACCACCCTGCAGCCTCCCCGCCCCCCACCCCATACAGCACAAGGCCTGGGCCTGCCCCAGAAACCCCTGGGACCCTGCCCCTCTGCACCAAGTATGGGGCAGGCAGACTCAACCAGGCAGGATCCAAGTGTGGAGGGGCTCAGTGTGGGGGGATCCAGGTGTGGGGTGAGAGGATTCTGCGTTGGACAATCTGGGTGCAGGCAGCTCAGTGGGGGGGGGGGGGAGATCTGGATGCACAAAGTCTTGTTGGGAAGGGGAGGAGGGAGGTTCCAGGTGAAAGTGATTGGGGCTCAGGAGAGGAGTCTGGGTGTCAGGGTCTCATCAGGGGGGTCTGAGTGCTGGGGGAGTGGGACTTGGTGAGGTGGGAGTCTGGGGTGCAGCTAACTGGGAGCTCTGGATGTGGGAGCTCTGGGAGGTATGGGGGGGTTGAGTGCAAGGAGTTCAGTGGGGTGGAGGTCTGGGTGCAGCAGGCTCCAGATGCACTGGTTGAGGTTCAATGGGGTGGGGTTTGGGTATGGAGGGCTAGGCGGGTTGTGGTTGTAGCAGGTGAGGCTTGGCAGGGGTGTCTGGGTATGGGAGGTCCAGATGCACACGGGTTGGGCAAAAGGGGGAGCAGCTCCCCTTACAGTGACTTCTCCCCCCACGGCTGAGGAGTGATGGGAGCAGGAAGCAGGGAAGGATGCTGAGCTTCCTCAATCTGGGGGAGGTTTCTGTAATAGGATGAAATTTAATAGTGAGAAGTGTAAGGTGATGCATTTAGGGATAACTAACAAGAATTTTAGTTACAAACTGGGGACGCATCGGTTGGAAGTAACGGAAGAGGAGAAGGACCTCGGAGTCCTGGTTGATCGCAGGATGACTATGAGTCGGCAATGTGACGTGGCCGTGAAAAAAGCTAATGCGGTCTTGGGATGCGTTAGGCGAGGTATTTCTAGTAGGGATAGGGAGGTGCTGGTTCCATTATACAAGGCACTGGTGAGACCTCATTAGGAGTACTGTGTGCAGTTCTGGTCTCCCACGTTTAAAAAGGATGAATTCAAACTGGAACGGGTACAGAGAAGGGCCACTAGGATGATCCGAGGAATGGAAAATCTGTCGTATGAAAGGAGACTCGAGGAGCTCGGTTTGTTTACCTTAACCAAAAGAAGGCTGAGGGGGGATATAATTGCTCTCTTTAAATATATCAGAGGGATAAATATCAGGGAGGGAGAGGAATTATTTCAGCTCAGTACTAATGTGGACACTAGAACGAATGGATATAAACTGGCCGTCGGGAAGTTTAGGCTTGAAATTAGACGAAGGTTTCTAACCATCACAGGGGTGAAGTTTTGGAATAGCCTTCTGAGGGAAACAGTGGGAGCGAAAGACCTCTCTGGCTTTAAGATCAAGCTTGATAAGTTTATGGAGGGGATGGTTTGATGGGATACAGTGATTTTAGTCAATAGGTCGATAACAATGGTCAATGATGGGATATTAAAAGTTACTACAGAGAACTTTTCCAGAAGGTCTGGCTAGAGAATCTTGCCTGCAATGCTCGGGGATCAGCTGATCGCCATATTTGGGGTCGGAAAGGAATTTTCCTCCGGGGTAGATTGGCAGAGGCCCTGGAGGTTTTTCGCCTTCCTCGGCAGCATGGGGCAGGGGTCGCTTGCTGGAGGATTCTGAGCGACTAGAAGTCTTTAAATAATGTTTTGGGAGTTCTACAGCTAAGTCAAGGGAGAGAATTCTTCCAGGAGTGGGTGGGTCAGGTTTTGTGGCCCACATCATGCGGGAGGTCAGACTAGATGATCATAATGGTCCCTTCTGACCTTAGAGTCTATGAGTGGGTCTGACACAGCCCCAGCCATTCCTTGCAGGGGAAGAGGAAGTCCCATCCTCTCCTGCCTCCAACTCAGCCGGGACTAGCAGCTAATCCTGGCTCAGGATAGGAGCCACTGGCTGGAGTGTCCCCAGCCCTGCGGTGATTTACCATTTTTCTGCAGGGAGGCAAAGAAATCTCCGGGCAACATGATTTCTGCGCACATGTAGTGGCGCAGAATTCACCCGGGAGTATATATTGCTCAATTTCACAACATTTTGTCCTGAATAAATCTAGCACTGAAACAGGGTGAGAGGTTGTTCTTGTGGTTGGGTCAACCCTGCTGGGTATCAAGAAATACTTGAAATATCACAAGAAAGCTCTTTCCGGATCAAAGGCTCAAATAAACGTATCTAAGAATTCAAATTCTTTGGCACCTTAGCTTAACGTTTTGTGGTTCATCTACTGCTACTTTCAAGAAGTGGTTTATATAGAGTGTATTTTATCAATTTTTGAAGGAGAAGCCTGGGATGTATTCAAAACTCTAGTTGCATAATGTCTTTTGTCAAGGCCTGTACCATGATTTATTAAAATCTTAAGTGAATGAAAAATAACACGAAGGTAATATTGACCAATAACTCTGTTATATAAAATTTATGAATGTACATATGAATGGAGCTGAAAAGGCAGATACCAGGTCCTAAAATCTGATTAGGTATTTTCAAGACTTCTGGTAAGGCTGTATAATTCTATTAACAACAAACAAAGACCTTTCCCAGACCTGAAGAGCAGCTCTGTGTAAGCTCGAAAGCTTGTCTCTCACCAGCAAAAGTTGGTCCAATAAAAGATATTACCTCACCTATCTTGTCCCTCTAACAAACCAAGATGTTAAGATGGGACAACGTGTTCATACATGGAACTGATGGAGATTAGTTTTTATTGCAGTGGTGACTGGCACTGAAAATAAGCATTGGGGGGGTGGGGAGGGGGGGTGGTAGCAAATTGCCTGTGGCCCAGATACACTACCTTCTCCTCCCAGGGTGATCATGTTTTTCAAAGTGGAAAACTGGAAGAATTCAGGTTGTCACCTCAAGGAAGCATTTTGATAGGAGATATGGGGAGAGTGGATGGCTAGTGGAGAAGTGAGCAGGACAAAAAAGAGGGCACCCATTCCCTTTTCAGATTAGGACACTTTCTTGTCTAGAATAAGGAGGGGATTCCTCTGTCATCCCTTTACTATACTCCCTACCTTTAGGCTCTTCCCCTGCATTCTAGTTTTTAAATCTACTCTTTCCCAACTCTCTTTACAGCATTCACCCACACCCTCATTCATCAACTGATTCCCTCCCCACCCCACACTCAACCCTTCAAACCCAGCCCAATTCTTCTTCTTCTCCCCCCCCACCCCGCTAAGGACCTCCCCAGACCCTCACCAGTCTCCACACCTGAACCACCAACAACTCGGGAATATCCACATGCCACCTCACCTCTTCACAGCTCAAAACCATCCCCTCATGTCTGAACCCTCTCCCACATAGCACTACAGGCCCCTTCTGCCTCTGACCAGACACACATTACCAGGAGGCTCAAAAGCAACTCAAGCTCAGAAGCTTCCCTCGTTACTGGCCCTGGAGAAACAGGAGCAGAAATAGCTGTGTAGGAGTGTGAGAGCAGTTTCCGGACTTCACTGGCTCATTTACCATCTTGTTAAGTTGTTAAAAAGTGAACTGATGGAACATTAAGCTGACAGTTGTGAGCTACACTCTTCCTCTGTCAGACAAACTTGAGTTAGCTGCACAGAAGCCTGTATTTCCTGCTCTGTCTCCCCTCCTGCTGCCTGCAGTCTATGGAAGCATATGGCATTCTGCCGGGTGGGACTGGAGATGTTTCAACCAGAAATCCCACTGGCAGCAGAAGGCACTGCACCATAAAGACCATCAGTCACACAGAAGAATCATAGAAGACAGGGTTGGAAGAGGGTCATCTAGTCCAACCCCCTGCTCAAAGCAGGACCAACCCCAACTAAATCATCTCAGCCAGGGCTTTGTCATGTAACGTCTATAGAGCAGCTGACAACTCAGGCATTATTGCTGGGGCGTAGCTACATAAACCCCTAATGGGTAGCCACCCTGCTTGACTGGTTGATTATGACATACTAAAGTTATCACTCTGTAATGAGCTTAAACTTGCAGTGAGAGAGAATGTTGGACAATGAGTGTCCATGCGACAGGGAGAGCTAACAAGCTTCACCTCATGGATATTACCACGCAATGGGAAAGAGTGATGATAAATTGGGCCTCTATTCCTAATCCTGAAAGATGTCCTGATTAGGAGACGAGAAGAGAGGTAGAAGATATCACTGTTGCCATGGTTGTGTCCTCAGCAACTCCTAGAACGTAAACTTAGGAGTCCTACTATTATAGCTTCCATAGGGTAAGTTTCCCTCCCTTCCCATCACCTCATTCCTCCAATTGTAGGCTTCTTTCTTTTGCCTTCTCTAGCCCAAATGACTTTGCCAGGTTCCTAATTGGCTAATAAGAATGTATACTATATGATGTGCCTGTGATTACCCAGCAACTAAAACTACAAAGGCCTTGGCTACACTTACCCGCTAGTTCGACGGCTGGAAATCGAACTTCTGGGTTCGACTTATCACGTCTAGTCTGGACGCG